GCCCCGGGGTCCCGGGGGTGATCCCAGGTTTCCCAGGGCTGACCCCGGTGTTCCGGTGCTGACCCCGGTGTCCCGGTGCTGACCCCGGTGTCCCGGGGCTGACCCCGGTGTCCCGGTGCTGACCCCGGTGTTCCCGGTGCTGACCCCGGTGTTCCCGGTGCTGACCCCGGTGTCCCGGTGCTGACCCCGGTGTCCCGCAGGACAGGCGGTGGCTCTGGGGCTGGTGGCCGCGCTCTGGGGTGGCACCAGCCCGTTCCTCCGGTCGGCAGCGGCGGGCACCGAGCGGCTGCGGGGCCGGGGCCGCCTGCGGCAGCTCCTGGCCGAGCTGCGCTTCCTCAGCCTCAGCCCCAAGGTGAGACCCTGCTGTTATAGATACATTTTATATCGTTGGCTTTTCCCAAATATTCAAATGAATGCTATGTGTATCAGAATGAGACATTTTGTTGTATTAATATAGTTTTCTTTATTTCTGTTATTGATGAAATTTAGAAATAGAGGTATAATACATGTATGTTAGGTTATGGCATGGTATTAAAATAAAAACTGCTTTTGTTTGTATAACCCAAAGACTGAGGAAAAAATAGCTGGAGAACTCCTGCATTTGTAAATTATCTTATCCAGATGAGGACAGCAGTGACCAGAGCTCTGGGGGAGGAATTTATTGCATTTCTGTGATCAGGGAATGTAAATCTCGATGGCACCAAGAGCATTGATCTATTGGGAAGGGGGCAAGAGAAAACTAAACAGAGGAACACCAAAGATCCTGAGAAGAATGTGTGAATATGTGTGAGAATTTATGGATATGGAGCAGGGTTCTGTTTTTAAGGGACAATCCTTTGTCAGTGAGGTGAATGCAGACACACCCAGCCCTATCTGTATACTTTACTTTATTTTTTTCTCCTAATTGCTTTTTTATTAAACTTTTAAATTCTGTAAAAATTATGTGAACCTCGTTTTTCACACTGCCATTCCCTGCGATCCTTCCTGCAGCTTCAATATCCACAATCCCTCATCCTCGGGCTGTTTATTCCCGCTGCTCTGCTCCTCCCGTGCAGAACTGAGACCTTTTCCTGTCATTCCCCCCATCCTTTGGCTGGGATGAGCTCAGGGATGGGCACTGGGATCCCCCAAAGCCCCATTTGGGGGGCTCAGAACAGCTTTGTGTTCTCCTGCAGTACCTGCTGCCCTTCCTGCTCAACCAGGCTGGATCCCTCCTCTTCTACCTCACCTTGGCCTCCACAGGTCAGTTCCTGCTGCTTTTTTTTTGGGGTGGGTTTATGAGGTTTTGGCAGGATCGGCGCCGTGGGTCGGTGACTCGGCCAAACACCAAGCAGCTCCCTTGGAATAATTACAAATAAACTGAATTTCTCCACTTGAAACTTGCATTTCAGACCTGTCCCTGGCAGTCCCACTCTGCAACTCCCTGGCTTTGATTGTGACGTTGGTGACTGGGAAAATCCTGGGAGAGGACATCGGTGGGAAAAGTGAGTCCCACTTCAAGGATTTCCTCAAGAAATCACCTTTTATTTGATTGAGATTTTGTTTTGATTTGATTTATAATGTGAAGGCTCTGAAGACACCAAACACCCCACAAGGCTTGAACTTGGGTGCAGCAGCTTTGGCTGCAGGACCTGAAAGGGAATTAAAACAGATTTTTGGGCAGGGCTGGTGAACTTAAAGCCAGAACTGGCTGTTTTAAGCTAAAAGAGTTTATAGGCTTGAGCTTTTCCCTCAGGGGATATTTAGCCAGGAGAGAAACACTGAATAAAATGCCCACCATGGAAAAGGAGCGGCCCAAAAGCCCCCAAATGTCAGCCTGCCCTGCTCAGGAAAAAACAGGACATTGGAAAGTGTAAAACTCCAGGAAAAACAGCTGGAGGTTGTTGATTGAGCCAGATTCCCAGTTTATCCCTGTTAATTCCCACAGGAGCTGTGGCAGGAATGCTGCTCACCATCCTGGGAGTCTCCCTGTGCCTGGCTGGGTCCTGAGGGAGCAGCAGAACCTGACCCAAGGCGCCTCCCCTCATGGCTCACCTGGGATGTCCTTTTGGGATGGCAGAATCCATGGATCCCTGAGCTCCAGGGTGCAAGGAGAGCCAATTCCGTGCCTTAAGGGATTTTTTGTTGGCTGTTTCATGGTTAAATTTGTCCTGTTCAGCACTTGGAGGGATAATAGATGGTCAATAAATCATCCAGTGTGACCTCCTGGCACTGATGGGTTTTTGATTATCCCCAAACCCTTCCAACCATCCCAAAACCCTTCAGCCAGCCCCTCACTGAGCACAAACCCTTCTGACCATCCCAAAACCCTTCAGCCAGCCCCTCACTGAGCACAAACCCTTCCGACCATCTCAAAACCCTTCAGCCAGCCCCTCACTGAGCACAAACCCTTGTGCCAAGCCCAGAGCAAACCCTTCCAGCCACCCCAAGCCCTCCTGACCACCCAAATCCTTCTGACAACTCCTGACCACCCCAAACCCTCCTGACCACCCCAAACTCCTCTAACCACCCCCCTGACCACCCCAAACCCTACTGACCACTTTCCTGACCACCCAAATCCTTCTGACAATTCTTGATCACCCCAAACCCTCCTGACCACCCAAATCCTTGACAACTCTCTTGACTACCCCAAGCCCTCCTGACCACCCCAAACTCCCCTGATCACCTCCTTCCAGACCACCCCAAACCTTCCTGACCACCCAAATCCTCCTGACAACTCTCTTGACCACCCCAAACTCCTCTGACCACCTTCCTGACCACCCCAAACCCTCCTGACCACCCCAAACTCCTCTGACCACCCCCCAGACCACCCCAAACCCTCCTGACCACCCAAATCCTTCTGACAACTCTCTTGACCACCCCAAACCCTCCTGACCACCCCCCTGACCACCCCAAGCCCTCCCTGCTGAGCCCAGCCCAGTTTCCATGGGTGCAAACCCAGCAGCAGGAAGTTGTGGCCACATCCAGCACCCTCAGAGCACCAGGAACCACAGGGATCTTTAATCCTCCAGGATTTGATCCAGGAGCAGGCGCCAGGTTCCCATCAGGATTTATGGATCAACAGCTCGTGTCCCCTCAGGTGCTGCCACACCCCTGTCATTGTCTGGGAAGTCCCAAAAGTCCTGTTGTGGATAAACCCACTGCACACCTCACCCTCAGCCATGGAGCCACCTGGCTCTGTCCAGGAGAAATCAGGAAACCAGGCAGGAACAGCATCAGGAAAAGTTGTTTGTTTTTTTTTTTTTTTTATTCCCAAAGAGTAGAAATAATTCCAGAACAGAAGGATCCACATCTGGAGTGTCCACACAGGGGTCAGGGAACCACAGCACCACGTGGAAAGTCCCTTTTTGAGGGACCTGGAACATCCCTGAGCTGAAGGAATTGACAAAGCACCAGGTCCTTTCCTGGCTCTGCCCCAGGAGAAAATTCCCAGAGCCAGAGGAAAGGCAGGAATGAGCCTCATCCCAAGGATCAGGGGGATGGGGCTCCCTCCCTACCCACACAGCACAGTCAGGGATCTCCTCCCCACTCAGCACTTCAGTGTTCCCAAAACTCCACCACTTGGAGATCCTGGATATTGCAGGGCCATCCCAAACACAGATTCCCACATGGAATTCCACACAGTTTTGTGGGAAGAGCACATTCCTGCAGGTCCCTGCTGCCTTCAGCCGTTCCAGGTCCACAACAGCACCAAAAGCACCTGCTGGAAGTGAAAATCCTCCATTTCCCACTTGGATCATCCAGCTCAGGTAAGAAAAACAAGGATCCCATGGGATGGATCCCTCCAGGACACTCCACAACCCCTTGATGATGTTTAATCCTGCTTGGACCAAATATCCACAAAAAGTTTTTCTTCCCACGTTTTTCCGGAGTGAAAAACCTCCCACGGAGCTGGAGCTCCCTGTGCTGTCACTGTCACATCAGGACTGGTGCTGCAGCTCCAGGGCTTCTCCAAACCAATCCAGGAACTCGGGAATGTTTCTGGAGTGGTCGGGAATTCCCAGCTTCCGTTTCAGCATCAGGAACTGCGAGCGAGAGAAAACCAAGCACCGGTGATGAAATCCCAGAGCAAAATCCCTGCCACATCCACCCAAATCCCTGGAAAACTGCATCCAGCCCATCCCAGAAGTGTTTGGGAAGAGGCAGGAGCAGCCCCTCACATGTTTCCTGCTGGCAATGGCCTGTTGGATCCACAGCAGCTCCATCAGGAGATGGTTCCTGTGGGATTGCAGCTCCGAGCGCGGAAGGCCCTGCAGATCCGCTGGGATTTCTGCCACAAAAACCAGGAGAACCACAAAGATCTGGATGGTGGGAGCTGTTCCAGCTTTCCCAAGATATTCCCGAGGTTCTGTGTCCCCTACCTGGGCTGGCTCCGAGGTCGCTGCTGTCCCATTCCGAGGCCACGCTGTCGTTGTCCCACTCCTGGCTCCCTGCCAGGGCTCTTCCCTCCTTTTCCAGGTTTTTAGCAGCACCAGACCCCAAATTTGGGGGTTTTGGGGTTGTCCCCCTGGGCAGAGGGGCTGAGGGGGGGATGTTCCCACAGCTCCCAGACCGCTCTGCTCCAGGGGGATCCGGCTTCTCCGGGATTTTTTTGGGAATGGTTTCATTCTCTGCAGGCTCCCCTGGATCCAAGGGCTTCCCTGGGGAGGGCTGCCCAAAGGAAAACAGAAAAAAAAACAACACAGGGAGAGAAACAGAATGTGAGGAAAATATTAAAAAAAACAAGAAAGTCTAAAAGGAAATAGGAAAGAAATATGAAGAAAATACGAAGATGAAAAGGAAGAAAATGTAGAGAAAACAGAAAGAAAATAGAAAGAAATATCAAAGAAAATATTCAAATACACAAAAGAAAATATATAAAAGAAAATAGAAAGGTCTGGAATGTTCCCGGGAATGTTCCCTGATCCCGATCCCCAGGAATGTTCCCTGGTCCCCGAGGAATGTTCCCTGGTCCCAAGCCCTGGGAATGTTCCCTGGTCCCAAAACCCTGGGAATGTTCCCTGGTCCCGATCCCCGGGAATGTTCCCTGGTCCCCGAGGAATGTTCCCTGGTCCCCGAGGAATGTTCCCTGGTCCCAATCCCTGGGAATATTCCCTGGTCCCAAAACCTCAGGAATATTCCCTGGTCCCAAAGCCCTGGGAATGTTCCCTGGTCCCAAAACCCTGGGAATGTTCCCTGGTCCCGATCCCCGGGAATGTTCCCTGGTCCCGATCCCCGGGAATGTTCCGTGGTTCTGATCCCTGGGAATGTTCCCTGGTCCCGATCCCCGGGAATGTTCCCCAGTCCCAATCCCCGGGAATGTTCCCTGGTCCTGATCCTTGGGAATGTTCCCTGGTCCTGATCCCTGGGAATGTTCCGTGGTCCCGATCCCCGGGAATGTTCCGTGGTCCTGATCCCTGGGAATGTTCCCCGGTCCCCGGCCATGTCCCCCCGCTGCTGATGCACCTCAGGCCCGAAGCGCGGCCGCTGCAGAACGCGGCCGGTCCAGCGCAGCTGCCCCAGGTCCCCCTCGATCTCCAGCACCACGGCCTCGAACTCTTCCCGCAGGCTCCGGAGCCGCCTCCGCAGCAGGAACCCCCTGGCACAGGCCTGGCATGGCCCAGGGCAGCGCTGGAGCCGGGCCAGGCATCCACCTTCCCTTCCCCTTACCTCCCTTCCC